ATGTCAGTTTGGAAAAGTTACATGGGAAATAAAAGACTTTTAAGCCTTTAAAGACCTCAAAAAAAAATTACCTGAATCATAGATGATCCTCTTTTTCTTGTTGTTCTGCTTTGGTTTGGAGGCATCCTCTTTACAGGAATTATTAACCTGTAGACAGCAGGGTATAATTAGAACAAAGGAAGCCTATACAACTTAGCCTGTCATTCTCATTAGACTCAGGCTTAGTGGCTCTCAACAGAAGCAACTCTGCCTCCGTGGAGATATCTGTTGATATCTGGAGACACTGTTTATCACAAAGTAGGACACGGGTTTCTTATGATGGCTAGTATGTAAGGCTCCTAACACCACCCAATGCAACAGCTATCTAGCCCAAAATGTCGGAAGGCTCTTGCTGAGCAGGGCAAGAGCAGAAGCGCACAGGAGGGAAGACTCACAGAGAAAACTAAACTATTATTCAGCTACACGTTCAGCACCAGCCCACACAGAACGAAGAGTAAAAGGATGTCAGACGTCACAGGGTCAAGACGCTTATTGCCTTGAATGTCCCTGAATGCCTTGGGCTCCAGGGTGGTGCTAATGAGAGGTGGCAGAACCTTTACAAGGTAGAAGCCAGTGGAAGGCCCCTAAAGGGGAAAAGAGAACCAGTCCTATCCCTTTTCTACCGGTCTGTCTCTTGGCCATGAGGAGACCATTCTGCTCTACCACACATTCCCAGGGTTACGTGCTGTTATCAGCAGATCACAGACTGGAAACCTCCAACCCAAAATAACCTTCCTCTTTATAAGCACATTATCTAAGCTACTTTGTGATAGTAATGGAAAGGTGGCTAACACACAGGTTGGGTGCTTCCTAAAAATGCAAGATAAAAACAAAAATAAGAGCTAAGCTACCAGTTCATGACTAGCAAATTCATGCTGAAAAACTAAACGCAAGCCAAAAGCTTACATATATTTATAAATGTCATAATTCTAATATACTCAGATTTTTCCCAAAATGCATCAAGAAAGTAGACCGAAAGAAATGATCACTTAGAAAATGAAAATACCTATGTATTTCTGTCCATTAAAACAAAACATCAGAACACAACTAGTTTCAAAAACCAAGACAAATGAACCATAATTCACAGCTACAACAAAGAGCTAGGGCAGGAACCAGAAGTGAAGGCAGCCACAGTGAGTCTCAAGTACGGAGACGAGATACCTCGAAACAAAGTCTCTAAATTCTGCCCAAATTTCATACTGTTTCTATAAAATAACTCCAAGTACTTAAAAGGTCAAAGTTTTAAAAGACTAAATTAAAAGAACTAAACCAAGTCAAGCGGTGGTAGCACATGCGTTTAATCCCAGCATTCAGGAGGCAAAGGCAGGGAGATCTCTGAGTTAGAGGTCTGCCTGGCCTACAGAGTGAACAGAACAGCCAGGACCACACAGAAAAACCCTGTCTAAAAAAAAAAAAAAAAAGAACTAAACCAAGATCCAAGATTTCACCTGCTGCCCAGCAAACAGGAAATCAAGAATTTGGAGCCTGAGTTTGGTCAAGTAAATCACATGGTAAGCCAAAAGAACCTGTGTGGTTAAGTACATCAAGACAATGATTCAAAAAGGATCCAGATATTTGTCAATCATCACCGCAATGTTTGTGTGAGGTGCTTTTGAATAAATTTAATATTTAAATCAATAAAATAAAAGAGATGTCCCTGATGGAAATAGTTGAGCCTTATCAAATTAGCAGAAGCCCTGAGAAGCTAACCTTCCCTGAAATGAGAGAGAACTCCTCCTACCTGACTTCTAGCCAGACGTCAGCTTTTTCCTGCCTTTGGACTGGAATTGCACCACTGCTTCATTTTGTTTTGGCTTTTGTTTTGTTGTTGTTGTTTGGGTAGGATTGTTTTTGTTTTTCAAAACAGGGCTTCTTTGTCTTGGCTGTCCTGGAACTTGTTCTGTAGCCCAGGCTGGTCTCAAACCCACAGAGATCCACCTATCTCTGGCTCCCTAGTGCTGGGATTAATCACTTCCCAGCTGAGACCATCACCTCTTTCAGAGTGGACCCACCTGCTCAGCTATTCTGAACTGCAGGCCTTGCACCTGGACGGGAACTCTACCATCAGCTCTCCTGGGTCTCCAACTTACAAACTGCAAACCTTTTCGGTTTCTACAACTCCCTGAACCAGTTCTTAGTAATAAATCTACTTATGTTCACACTATTGGCTCTGTTTCACTGGAGAGCGTGACTGACAGAAATTGTTAGCACTAAAAAATGGAAGAATGCTATTAAAAATATATCTAAGATAAGAAGTGACTTTAAAGCTAGGTACTGAGTAGAAACTGGACGGAGTTTGAGATACATGCAAGAAAAAGCCCAGAATGCCATAAAGGAACTGTGAGTAAAAACATGAGTCCAGCTGGGCAGTGGTGGTGCACGCCTTTAATCCCAGCACTCGAGAGGCAGAGGAAGGCAGATCTCTGTGAGTTTGAGGCCAGCCTGGTCTACAAAGCAAGTTCCAGGGAAGCCAAGGCGAAAAAAAGACACCCCACCTCAAAATAAAGAAACAATAACCTGAGTCCAGTGGCAGTTCATGAGAGAGAAAAGAGCTACAGTGAAATCTTCCACTGCAGAAAACACGCATCATCATGAACAGCACTCTGAGATAAATGTCTGACTTGGGAATCCAGCTCCATGACAGGAGTAGCTTGCCTAACCTACACAAAGCCCTCTGTTTAGTCCTCATTGTCGCCGTAACAAAATTTAAAGGAAAGAAGAAAAATGAAAGCTAAAGGCCAACTTACTGAGTTCCCTGACAGAAACAATAACAGGCTTTTGAAACTGTAGTAAAGAATTCGGCAGGGGCCAAGCAGGGCTGGAGCATGTTTTTAATCCCAGCACTCAGGAGACAGAATCAGGTGAATCGTTGTCTGGTTTACAGAGCAAGTTCCAGGACAGCCACCAGGGCTACACAGAGAAATCCTGTCTTGAAAGAAAAAGGAAAAAAAAAGAACTTGGTTGTGTGCAGACCTAATGGCATATGCTTTTGATTCCAGCACTTAACAAAACACAAGCAGGCAATCTCTGTGAGTTGGAGGCCAGGATGGCCTACAAAGGGAGCTCCAAGCCAGACAGTCAGAACTATGGAATGAGACCCTGTCTCAAAAAAAATAAAAGAGAGGGGGAGAAAGACCTAATTTGGTTGTAGGACTGGAGATGGTTGCACTTGTTGCTCTTGCAGAGGACCCAGTTCAACTCCAAGCACCCGAATGGTGGCTCACAATTCCAAGGGATCCAAAGTTCTCTTCTAGCTTCTGTGGGCACTAGGCATGCAGGTAATACACATACATATATGCAGACAAACCACTCTTACATATAAAATATATACATACATACAAAATAATTTTTAGAAAAATAACTTGGTTATGTTCTAGTGCTTTACAAAAAGTAAGAAATTTAAGTATTGAGCTAAAGAAAGTTTGAAACAGAATGCTAACTGTACAGGTTGAGCTCTAAAAACTTATGATAAAGGTGAATTACACGAGAAAACTCACAGAATCACTAACCTGGGCCCTTAGAAGCTCACTGAACCAACAATCAGGGAACCTGCATGAGTCTGACCTATGCTGTCTGCATACATGTTATGGTTGTGTAACTTGGTCTTCTTGTGGGACTACTAACAGTGGGAGTAAGGGCTGTCTCTGACTCTTTTGCCTACTTTTGGAACCCTTTTCCTGTAACTGGGTTGCCTCATCCAGTCTTAATATGAAGGGATGTGCCTAGTCTTACTGCAACACAATATGCCATGTGTGGTTGATATCCCTGCTCTTTTCTGAAGGAAAACAGAGAAATGGATCAGGGGGAGAAGGGAGGTGCAGAAGGAGAGAATTAGGGGAAACTGTCAGGATGTAATTTATGAGAGAAGAATTTTTAAAAAACCCATATGCTAGACCTTGGTAAAATAGTTAAGAAAAAAAGAGAGAAAAAGGAAGGAAGGAAAGAAGGAAGAGAACTAAGTACTGCTAACCAAAACTTCATGACTTGGAAAATTATTTTAACTGCTCACACTGCAAAAATGAGACAGAATATTTTGAAAAAAGTACCAAGGGTGTAGTTGAACTATCACTAAAGAGGTATTAATACATGCAGAAACACTGCCATTTTCAACTAAAGGGGACAGAACAAAGAAATCTACCTGACTTCTTATATTCCATAGATGGACCAATAGACTAAGAGATCATCAGGACTGACTTCATTTTCAAAGGGGAAAACATCATCTTATTCAAAAGACCAGACAGTCTTCACCTGAAGCCTCAAAGGTAAAAGAGTCATAAAGAGTCCCAAGGACAAGACTGCTGCCTAGACTTACAGGAATGGAACCCCAGTGGGTCTGCAAAAGGCTAGTCTAAATGAGACTAGTCTTTATACTTGATGGTATATTATTGATGGTATCAATCCTGGGGAGCGGGTGTGACTGAAATAGAATGAATACACTTTTAGCTGGCCATGGATAAAATGTTATAGACGGGATGTTTACATCCCAACTTCCTGTGCTGGAGCTCTAATCCTTAATCTCGGTACTCAGAAGGCAGAGGAAAGTGGATCTCTGTGAGTTCAAGGCCAGCCTGCTCTCCGTAGCCAGTTCCAGACCAGCCAGGGCTACTTAGTGAGACTCACTCTCAAAGCAAACAAACAAATTTCCAAAGTAATTAACGAGGAGGTATGAAAGAGGTCCTGATCTCACAAGATTAGCATCCTTGTAATAGGCACCAGCAGGCTCAATCTCTCCTTCCTGAGCACAGGCACCCAAGAAAAAGCTGTGTGAGAACACAAGGAAGACAGCTACAAACCAAGAGTCCTCACTAGAAACTACATCAGCCACAGAATCCTCATCATGGAAAAACTGGCCCCAGAACTCAAAGTATGGTTGTCTGGTTTAAGCCACTGAGACAATGGTATTACGTTGTTGTGTCCAGAACAAATTAAAATATGGCCTGCAGACTCAAGAGCAAAGGCACTTAATAGAGATAGATGATACTGGAATATATGATTCCAGATACTGGAATATATGAACAGACAAGCACTTTAAAGCAGAGTCTAACACCATCTACCTGGAGATAGGCCCTGTGTCTCTATGAACAAACCTGGTTGGTTTGTTTGTTTGCTTTATTTGTGGTCCAGACTGACTTCAAATTTCTGCCTCACCCTCTTAATCTTAATTATTTCCTGCATATGCCATGCCACCACAGCTGGCAAATTTTGATCTTAAAATGCAAATGTTTTGCCAGGCACTGGTGGTACACACCTTTAATCCCAGCACTGGGGGGGGGGGGGGGGGGGGCAGGCAGAGACAGGCAGATCAGATCTGAGTTCAAGGCCATCCTGGTCTACAGACTGAATTCCAGGACAGTCAGGGCTACACAGAGAAACCCTGTCATGAAAAAAAACAAAACAAAACAAAAAAAAGCAAAGGTTTTGTTTGTTGTTGTTGCTACTGTTGTTTTTAATGAGTGTAGGAGTTTTGCCAGCATATTAGTCTGTGTACCCTATGCAGGCCTGGTGCCCACAGAGGCATGAAGAAGGCTTCAGATCCCCTGTAAGTAGAATTACAAATGGTTGTGAGCCACCTTCTGGATGCTAGAAATCGAACGTGAAAAGAATCGAACTCTGAAAGAATAATGCTCTTGACCGCCAAGTCAACTCTCCAGCCCAACATGCAAAGTTTTAACAACTCAAAGGAGAAAGGGGGAGAAGACAACAGGATTGAACGCAGCAAGTTAGACTAGACATATTAGCCTTATTTCTTTCTTCCTCCTCTGTTAACTGCACTGAAATCTCTAATTCTTCAACACTCCCAACAAAACAAAGTTAGGAACTGAGTTTCCTGGACGCCTCGCACAGTACAAACTTGAACGTGGAAACTGACCTTGACTTCCTTTACTCCTTTCTTTCCTTTGGCAGTTCCCGCCGAGGGTTTTATTTTCTCATTCTTCTTTACCGTCTCACTTACAGGCTTTTTTTCACTTGATATAACCCCAAAAAATTTCCGAATGTCCTAAAAACAGAAGAGGAGACATGTAACTATTACACATGTAATATTCTAATTTCAGTTACTAACAGGACAACTTTACTCAACTGGTCTAACCCAAGTCATCTCTCCAAATCAAGGCCATCTGTATTCAGCAGCATTCTTTTTTATAAATAAAAGCCACCTGGTAAAATTACCTGAATTAAAAATAAGTTTCCTGCCTGGTGGTGGTGGTGGCGCATGACTTTAACCCCAGCACTCAGGAGGCAGAGACAGGAGAATCTCTGTGAGTTCAAGGCCAGCCTGGTCTACAGAGTGAGTTTCAAGACAGGCTCCAAAGCTACAGAGAAACTCTGTCTCAAAAAAACAAACAACAACAAAAAGGTTTCTAATATAAAGTAACATTAATCCCAGGCAGTGGTGGCACATGCCTTTAATCCCAGTGCTCAAGAGGTCAAAGGTAGGCAGATCTCTGAGAGTTAGAGGTCAGTTTGGTTTACAAAGTGAGTTCTAGGACAGGCTACAAAGCTACAAAGCAACTCTCTCTGGGGGGGGCGGGGGGAGGTAATATTAATCCTCAGAATGTAAGCAAAAACAAGTAAAATTTTGACAGCATTTACTGCTCTTGCAAGGACCTGGGTTCAGTTCCCATCACCCATATTAAGTGGCTCACAACCACCTATTTGGGTTCTCACGCCCTCTGCAGGCACCTACATCCATGTGGTACACTTAACCTCACAGACACATACACATAAATAAAAATAACAAAGCAGTTTTGTTTGCTTGTTTGCTTCTGTTTTTGGAGACAGGGTTTCTCTGTGTAGCCCTAGCTGTCCTGGAACAAGCTCTGTAGACCAGGCTGGCCTCAAAAACCACAAAGATCTGCCTGCCTCTGCCTCCTGAGTGGTGGGATTAAGAGTGCTACACCAACATCCGGCAACAAACCAATTTTAAAGAATTGTTTTTGAGGAGCTGGGCATGGTGGCGCACGCCTTTAATCCTAGCACTTGAGAAGCAGAGGCAGGCGGATCTCTGTGAGTTTAAGGCCAGCCTGGTCTACAAGTTCCAGTATGGCCAGGGCTGCTGAACAGAGAACCCCTACCTTGGGGAGGGTGAGGAACTGTTTTGACAATAGCAGCACAGCTATGAAGAGGCAGGTAGTGACTGAGAACGCATGCACATACAAATCCCATAGTCCCAGGTGGCTGAGAAGACACAGCTTGGTACCACCAACAGCGACAAGACTTACACTTCAGTTTGAGAAAACAACTCTCACAACCTGGATTGTTCTTAGAAACTAAGAACGTTGAAAACATTTTTCTCTACATGATTCTTTTGAAACTCTTAAAGAAAGAAAAAAGAAAAACTATAATATACTCCTTCATTACTTGACCCCGGGCTAAACTACAGCATTCAAATTAATCATACAAGGACTTTACAATACAATTTAGCATTAAAAGCATTCAGTTTTCTTATTCTTCACATATATATTTTCCTTACCTTCCTTTTTTTGTCTTATTTTTATTTTGTTTGCCCTGGCTGTTCAGAGGCTCACTATGAAGGCTAGCTAGGCTGGCCTCTAACTCATAGGAGGTCTGCCCGCTTCTCCCCTCACCCCCAGTGCCGGGGTTACAAGTGCACACCACCACACCCAGCTCTCTACCTTTCTGTAATCTAGTTCTAAAACTACTGTAGAGAGGAAAGTGAACAGAACAGACCTTAGAATCAAGAAGTCTTTGCTTGAGTCTGCGCTCTAGTGCATTCTACTTGTGTGATCCTGGACAATTCATTTATATCTCAAGCTATTTTCAGTTAGGTGACATGGGATTCATTACACCTACCCTTTACAAAGCTCCAACATGCATCTGTTATCATTTTGGCTCAGCAAAAAGCTTCTCCTCTATTATTCACTCAACTCTCTGAAACAACACCTTTTATAAACTATTTATAAGCAAAAAGGTAGGATTTCATATCTTCCTTTGCAAATCTCCTGTTATATAAAAAGTTCTAACTCATTAATTAAATCTAAGTTTAAAAAAATCTTGCTGCCATAGTGGCAGCATGTGCCTATGACCAGGTGGTAGAGGCTGGAACATCAGGAGTTCAAGACCAGCCTTGGCTACACAGCAAGTTTCAAACTAGTCTGGGATACAAGAGACTCCATCTCAAAAATAAACAAAAAAAAAAGATATAAGCAGTGAGCCAATGTGATGACTCAGAAAGTAAAAACGAGTCTCTGGAACCTATGTGAAGGAGGGAGGAGAGGACCGACTCCTGAAACTTGTTCTCTGACCTCCACATGTGTGTGCCATATGTACACCCACACAAATATCACACACATGCATACATACACACAAATATTATAATAATAATAATAATAATGTAAATAAAACACAGCCTATTGACTAAACGCCTTGGCTATAAAACAAGACATTTGTGTCAAGTCGTGAAGAATAGGACAATAAAGAAAGCCACAGTCATATGTATAATTTGCCAAGAACTGAGCTTGAGGCTGACTACTTTATTGCTTCTGGAGGAAATGACAGTTTCTAATCAGTCTCGCTTTTTAGGATTATACGGTGATTCTTCACTCAAACAGTGGGGCTTAAACACATACAAAGGAAAGAAAAAGAAAAGGACAGAGATAATGCAGGTACTCCACAGAAACAGCAAAACTCTAAGTTAAAAATCAGGGAGCTAGCAAGATGGCCCGGAGGGTAAAGGCACTTGCTGTCAGCCTAGGGACCTGAGTTCGAGCCCTGGAGCCCACACGGTGAAAGGAGAGAACTAACTCCACATTGTCCTGACTTCCACACCTAAACCATGGCACACATATATACGTAAAGAAACAAAATGTAAAATTAATAATTAAATATTTACTTTTACAGACTAAAAGTAAAATATTTAGCGAATGAAGCAACTGGTAGCACCGAGCACTGACGTGGGAAAGTCTGCCCTGCACTCGGCATTGCTGCCTTCTTCTTAGGAGCTCCACCAGCTCCTTCTCGATCCCTACTCCGATGTCGGCAATGCATACTAGACTAGTTTACATCTCTGCGTATACTAAATATATACTATATGAGCCCGCAAATATACCAATTAACTAAAAAATCTGACTACATAAAAATGAAACAAAAGACATCATAAACAAAAATATCTACAATATAAGTACTATATAAATGGACTTCTACAAATCAACAAAAGACAACCAAATATAAAAATGAATAAAAGTTAATAATAGAAAAATTATAAAAAGAGATACAAGTACCAAAAAAAATACACCTTTTCTTCCAATAATCACATTTATTGTATTTTGGGTTGTGAACCTACTTTTAACAGCTGAATCATCTCTCTGGCCCAATCAACACATTTGTAAAAGGAAAGATAGGGGATGGAGAAGCACATGATGCTCTTGAAGAAGACCTGAGTTTGGATCCCAGCACCCACATCTCACGGCTCCCAACTGCCTGTAATGCTAGCTCTGGTGGATCCAAAACCCACTTCTGGCCTCCAAGAGCACATCCACATACCCACACACAGATACACACGCACATACATATAATTTAAAAAAAAAATAAGAAATTATAAAGGGGGCTGAAGAGATGGCTCAGAGGTTAAGAGCACTGGCTGCTCTTCCAGAGGTCCTGATTTAATTCCCGGCAACCACATGGTGGCTCACAACCATCTGTAATGAGGTCTGGTGTCCTCTACTGATGTGCAGGCATACAGACAGACAGAACACTGTATATATAATAAATAAATCTTTAAAAATTTATTTTAAAAAACAAGCAAAAAAAAAAAACAGTGAGAAGGAAAGCTCACACATCTCTGGGCCACTAGGAAGCAACAGTCGACAATCTGATCCTGGTCTGTGATGAGGATGCTAGAACAAACTACACTCAAGGATGGAGGCGCTAGAGAGCTCAGTGGTTAAAGTGTGTGCTGCTTTTGCAGAGGACCTGAATTCAAATCCCAGCACTCACAACACCTGTAGTTGTAGCTCCTGGGGATCAGATGCCCTCTTCTGGCATGAACAGGCTCCAGAACTCACAAGCATATACCCACGCAGAGACACACACTCATACATAATATAGAAGTAATAAATCAAAAAACCAAAGAGAGAAATTCAAGGGTAAGCCCAGAACACCGTAGAACATGGTGAAAGAATGAGTAAAAATGGAAAGTAGTACCAAAACAGAATAGAAAGGGTTCAAAAGACCAGCGCTCAGAGCAGGTGTTCTGCATGGCACCTCAGGAGTAATGCCAGCTCAGACTCCTGGAGGAGTGTCTGGAATGGCAGGAATGCCCAGAGCTTCCTGCAGCTATGCAGGATTCAGAAGCCACTGTGGTCTTTCTGGATATGGCAGAGAAACAGGTAAATATGACAAGTATGTTATGAATCTTACCAGTAAATATTCAGTCAAACTGAGAAGAAAAGCATAGGTCTTTCTGAAAAAAGCTTTTACTAAGAGTAACTACCTAAGGGATGCCAATTATACAAACCAGAGTCTTAGCCATACCATCAACAGAACTAAGTCTTAATGCTAATCTCTACCCCTTGGCACCAAATGTAGCTCAAGATTTTTACAACAGTTTTCCAGAAAGGCATCCATTGAAATCATGGGGTTTTTTCTAGTAGGAATTATAAATTTTCAACTCTTTACAGTCCTAGGGCTTGAACCTGAGGTCTTGTCCACACTAGACACGTATTTTACCACTAAGCTACATTCCCAGCCCCTCTCTTACTCTTTATTGAGACAGGGTTCACTAAATTGCCCTGGCTGACCTTGAACTTATTCTGTAGTCTAAGCATGTCTTAATCCTCCTACCTTAGCCTCCCTGTGGCTACAATTACAGCTTGTACCACCAGGGATCGCCTAACACTTTATATTTAAAAAAAAAAATTTAAAAAAAAGGACAGATAGAGAGATGGTGCAGAGCTAAAGAGCACTGGCTGCTCTGCCAGAGGACCTGGGTTCAATCTCAGCAGCCACATGGTGGCTCACAACCATCTGACTCCAGTTCCA